TGTCAGCCACCCTCCCAGTTTTGTGTCATCAGCAAACTTGCTGATGGTACACTCTATCCCTTCATCCAGGTCATTGATGAATATATTGAACAGGACTGGACCCAGTACTGCCCTCTGGGGAACACCACTTATTACTGACCTCCGACTAGACTGCACCACTAACCACAACCCTCTGAGCACCACTGTTCAATCCACCCCACTGTCCATTCATCTAACCCACACTTCCTAAGCTTGCCTGTGAGGATGATGTGGGAGACAGTGTCAAAAGCCCTGCTGAAGTTAAGGTAGTCAGCATCCGCTGCCCTCTCCTCACCCACCCATCCAGTCACGCCATTGTAGAAGGCTATCAGATTTGTCAGACATGACTTGCCCTTGATGAATCCATGTTGACTCTTCTGATAACCTTCTTTTCCTCCAGATGCTTGGAGATGATGCCCAGAACAATCTGTTCCATCATCTTTCCAGGGATGGAGGTGAGGCTGACCGGCCTGTAGTTTCCTGGGTCATACTTCTTGCCCTGTATTTTTAGAGCATAAGAAAAAAAGCACGCACAAATCCGCAGCTATGGTCATAGAACCTGAAGACTCTTTTTGATAGATTAGAAAATAGATAACTGCTACTTTATGTAAAACTTATTATTTCAGCTTATGTTGAGGGTACAGACACTTTAGCAGATCAGCCAGTGGTGAATTTCAGGTGTGGTAAATCTGTAGAAGAGCAGAAACAATCTGTGAACTAACTTCCAAAGCGATTGTAACTTTTAAAAAGTATCAGTATTGGCATCTCACACCTAACAAAAGCTGCATTAACTTTTAACAACAAATTTTGAGAATTCTGACTACTATACTTTTACTCTAAATATGAATATTGTTTCTTGCAAGTCACTATGGTGCCTCATATGCTTTTTTATGGGGTTTTGATGTTGTCTTATCAGCTTGTATATGATTTTATACTTCTATTATTATTTAGAATTGTCTCTTTTGAGTGTGTATTTGAAATTTGTTTATTCTTTTGTGGGGAGGAGAATTGGGGGAAGCATCTCACTGGTTCTTCTTAAGCATTCTTTTTGTCTGAAGCATGCTTTCTAATTTTCTATAATAAAAGTTGAAATAAGCACTTTAAGAGCAAGTACCAGAATGTTCATGTTATGCTAGTGGACATCTCAGTTAAATAAAGTCTACTTTTTTTTGCAGGGTGGGAAGGAGCATGGTGTTCCAATACTGATCTCTGAAATCCATCCTGGACAACCTGCTGATCGATGTGGAGGATTGCATGTTGGTGATGCTATTCTGGCAGTAAATGGAGTTAATCTAAGAGATGCAAAACATAAAGAAGCTGTAACTATTCTTTCCCAACAGGTCAGTTGGGACCTGTTACCCATGGGAACATTTAGGTGCCTCCTGGGTTCTGCCTGTTGGATTGCCTTGAATTGTAATGTTTTCTGTTAAGCTCAGCATTACGCTAAGCTACTGTGATTCCTGAAGCTGTATCAACTTACACTTAATCCTCTTATGCCTTTCAATTTAAGGAAAAAAATGCTGGGTCAGTACTGGTTCATTTAAACCTATGTATTGGTGGCTGATTCTTCAGTAAGGCTGTTGGAAATCAGCTTGTTGCATTGCCCCACAGCAATAATTATTTAGTGATGTTTTATGCTTTTATGACTGGACAGCTCCAGCCAAACAGTGTTTCTCATATGCTTTGTGGCCTAGAATCTTCTTTCTGCCTTGCTTCCCATTTTCAAACAGTTAACAGGTGAACATCATTTGTCAGAAAACTTACAAGTCACTGTTTGAAATGTATTGGCACATAACTGAGAAGTTCAGGTAACTTTGGTAAATCTTAGCTACAGAGCTGTACTTCTTCAGTCTGTAAAAACTTAATTCAGATACATAACTGAAATACTCAACACAACTGTGTATGTGTTTACGACAGTAAAATGTATTTGTTTGAGTATCCTGGCTCATCTGGGTAATCCTATTACATAGCTGTGCAGTAGTAAGTAACTTTGTGATTTTCATTGTATTTTAGAGAGGTGAGATTGAATTTGAAGTAGTGTATGTTGCTCCAGAAGTTGATTCAGATGATGAAAATGTAGAATATGAGGACGAGAGCGGACACCGTTATCGTTTATATCTTGAGGAATTGGAAGAAGGTGCAAATTCAAGTTCTAATAGGAAAGATGCAAATGTGGATGTCAAACCCTCACAAGGTAAACATTCTATAAATGTGTTACATGCAGTTTAATTCTGAAGTCTCAATATGCAAACCAATTTCTGGAAAACACTGTTCTCATATTCATTGTAAAATCAATCTACTTTTAATTCAATTAACCTCCTGTTAGGCTGTCAGCTTTTGCTTGGTCCCTCACTTACTGGCCTGGTTTACTTAGATACAAATGAATTAACTGAATTAACTTGTGGGGCTTTTTTTGTGATCACCTTTTCCCAAAGGCTGAAATTCAGATTTGTTCTTATCTTTTCCTGACTCCAGTCTAGGAGGAGTTAATTTGCCTTAACGCTTTATGTTGTTGGCTTCTTCAAATACATTTTCTAGATCAATGAGGTATAGAAACAATTCTTGTTTTCCTGTCATCGTATGTTCTGCTAAAAGCCTATTAGCTCTTGTTTTAGTAGTCATTTCAGCAAACTCTCCAGTTTCTGAAATAAGGCTCACTGATGTGTCCTTCCCAAGATTCCTTCCCTTCCTTAAATAAAATTTCTTTTTAACTTGCAGTGTTTGATAAGAAACCAAGTATTGATGGACATGAAAATGGAGACCTGGGGAATTCAGTTGAAGCTCCGTTAGAAGACACTGCACCCAAATTAGCCCGTTCTGCTGAGTCTTTATCTTAAAAACAAAAAAATCAACTGGACAGATCCCATCTTTGGGAACCATTGATAATCAATACTGACTGCTCCAAGTTGCATATACTAGTGTAGGTTGTAAAAGGATGATTAAATGTCAAAGGGGACTGTATTACTGTTGCCTGGAGAAAAGGCGGTTACCTCAGGGCTTCATTGTGAGCAATTCTAAATGTGGAAAACTGTCTTTTGCGTGACACACAGTAGTTACCTAACACATGGCATGTGAAATGAATTTTCTTTTAGTAATAAGCACCAAAGCATGGGATTTCTAAAAAGGATAACCTCGATACATTCAACTTTTAATCTCATTGATCCCCCCAAGGAAGTAGAGTAAGATGTGGCCAGCTTCATTTTGACCCTTTGATGTTTTAAAGGGACAACTGATGTTCAGTTTGGTGTGAAACAAGCTTTAACTCTGGAAGGATGGGGGGGTGGGGAATTGTACCATTGCATCCATAAGTTTTGTACTTAGGATTTTTGAACGGTAACTTTTAAAAGAAAGCTTTTTCTGTTGGGTTGTTTTTTTTTTCCTCTCAGAATAGCAAAAATCAGAGCTTCTATTTGAGCAAAGACCATCAAAACCCAAATGGGACCGTGAAGTACTTGCTAATCGTGATCCTTCAGCCTGTGATCATTTTATGAGTGGGATTTTTGGCATTATTGTTTTAATGAATTCACTGTCAGTTGTTCCATTTGAGACTTGCTCCAAAAGTATTTAAACAGAATATTATGGGGTTTTAAAAGCAAAATTAGTTTAAAAAATACTCACAATTATGTGGGCCCTTTGGTATTTTTTTTCTGAGCATCGTTAATTTAGCATTCATTCTTGAATGGATATGGTTACTGCTAATACAGAGTGGTTAGAGTTGGTCATCATTAGCTTGACTTTATGAAATACTGAGTGCTTTTGATGGGTACTGAACATGTTCATTTCACATTAAAGTAGTCTTTAAAGAAGTGGAAGTTGAGTGCACAGTACTTTACAGGAGGTGCTCAGAATCATACAGTGTCTGGCCCTATCTGTGTTACGTTATGGCAGTCGTATTAACCTATAATTGTCTTACTGTTGAAACAAAATGTTACTCCTTTTGTAAGAGCAGTGTATCTTAAAATAGCTTTTAATTGGTGTACATCTAAAGGCCCGCGGCATGGCTGCAAATGGGAATGCTGAGGATGGTTTCTTGACCAGTTTCTCATACTCCATTTGTAGATCTCTTGGTGAAGTGCAGCGCTCTCCACATGCAAGCTCTACATTGTAACCGCATTTATGATTTCAGCGTGCAATGCTGGCTTTCCTGTTCACCGCCCTGCAGGCTGCTGAACTGTAATGTGAAAAGATAAGATTTTGTACATTGAGAGAGGAACTAATGTGAAAAGACATCTTCGCAAGTGTCACTATGTAGGATGCACATGCATAAGAAAAAAACCTCAAAGGCCTTTAGAGTAACATCAACTAATCTTATGTTCTAAATTGTGATGTAGAACACAGTTACTTGTCTCTCCTAGGAGCACTATATATATATGTTTATAGAAAAAGCCTAAAAATGTATATACTTTATTCAAAGATTTTGCTATTTATGAATCCCTTAACTTCGCTATTTACATGATCGTTTTGTGTATGTGTGTGCGTGCGCGCCTGAGTTCCACTTACTCAGTGGAATAACATTATTTGGTTCATTTTTTTATAATACTCTTTGTCATACAGCATACTGTTGAAGGTTTTTAAAATAGTCAAAGCTGTACAGTTTTCACCAAACGGAAACTAGTATTTAAAAATAAAGCTGTGTGAAGAAGAAACAGGTCCCCAGGCATGTTTCTTTTTCTGAAGCTTCGGAAACTTGAGGACACATTAGCTGTGTGTTAGCAGATGAATCCACTGCCATAACTTTGCATCCAGATTTGTGTTTTTCCCACAATTACTCCAGTGGGCTGCACTCTGAAACTGTGGCCTGGAACGCTCAATGTCCTTTCTGTCAGAAAGGATAGTTCAAAGCCAAGTAGTGATCTTCTCATCTTTGGAAATCATCCCTGTATGAAATCTTGCTGCAGTTGTAAGAAATGAGGCTCGTCCAACTAGTCTAGTAACTTTTTAAGAAAGCATTAAATTTGCCTGTACAGTTTCCCTTTGAGGGAAACATGAAATTTTTAATTTATTTGTTCTTCCTTACTTCTTGGCACACCTTCTTTTCCACTTAATACTTTTGGTCAGTTTTAGGTGGAAGTGGGACAATGTTTCTAGAGTTATTTTCCAAACATTCCTTGTCCACCAGTTTCTCATGTTGCTATGGTCTTTTCTTCATCTTTTGAAGTTGCTGGACCCTTTTTCTGCTCTTACCTTGTCTATTTTTAACCTATATATGAGATCAACAGAAGGAACAGTTGCTGAAGAAAATGACTGGCAGTAGACAAATCAGGCAGCAGTAAGTTATCACCAGATTTCCTTCCCTGCAGTTTTTATAATCTTTGTTTAGAAATCCCTGAATGGGAGGATTTTGCTTAGACACCACAGCCTGTCTCCATGTACTCCATACTTCCTACCCAGTATGATTTAACATACTGGTTTATTGTAGTCATTCTGAGATGCTTAGAGATTAATATTTAAACTGAGAAAAGTTTTGCAAGGTGGGATTTCCAGATTCAGTAGACAAATGTGTATTCACCCCTTTGTCAGTAACTGGAAGACTCAGTCCTGCTGATTCCCAGAGGTTGAATGAATTAGACTTGGAAAAATTTCCGAGAAAAGTCAGTATTCAGACTTCATTTTTATTTTTTAAAGTCTAAAACAGTTTACTTGTGTGTGTATATATATTTTTACTTTAAAAAAATAAAACAATATTCTAAAGACAATTTTGCGATTTTTTTTTTTTTTCTAGTAGATAATTCCTTGCCTATTAAAAAAAATCTTCAGTGAGACAATTGTGTTTTACACTGAAGGTGGACAGGGTTTGTTGGCGTCTGGGACCAATGTTAATTAAAAGCATGTAAGTTAAGGAAAGTGCTTTATGGCAATAAATTTAACTCTGATCAAAGGCTGTATGTAGTATTTCCTTTGTAGAACTGTATTCTTGGCAGTGAAGAGGGTTTGTATCCGTCTCCATATATGTTAATCCACAGTCGTATCAAACAAAATTCAGGTATTTATTGTATCTGTTCAAACATTATTACATCATGGATTAATCTCATTTCTGTAGCAGATAGCACATTTTGCAACAAATGTATGCATCTAGTTAAGCTGAATATAATATATTTTTATTAGCCTGTAAATAAATATACTCTTCTGCATTGCAGTGATTTCTGCAGCTAATTCAGACTGGTATTTAATTTTCTTCTGGTTTTATATATAACATACAGACACCTAACCCTGTGTGTGATCTTTTTCTGTTAAGCACGTAGTCCGCAACCAGCCAAAAAGCTGCTATGAGGAAAACTGAAACTACATACCATGAAGTTTGACACTAATCCAGCCTTGGCCAGCAATGGTTAATGGCACATTGCATTTTTAAAAAGATAGAGTTATAGGATGTGTCTCAAATTTCATTATTTGAGATGCATTTTCTGCGGAATTTTTCCAATAAAAGAGAAGAGGGAAATACTCGCAGTGTCTGGCTGTATAATAATACCATAAATATTCTGAAGCCTTTGGCTAAGAAGAGCTATAAAACCCCAAACCTGTAAAAGGATTAAGTCATTTGGGTAAAATTGTAGAAACTGCCTTTTTTTCTGTCTTTTGTTTGTTTTCCATGCATTAGGAATAATAAATTTATTCTGATTTTTCCACTGGAGTTACACTTACCTTTAAGTTACAATTTTTAGTCCTGATATTAAAGTCTTTTTGTTCACATTAAGTGTCTGTTTTTTGTTTTAAATTATATTTTTAAAAAAGTTATCTCTCACCTATACTTGAGTGGTCATATTGCCCTAAAGCTTCAAGTTCATCTGGATGAACAGAGAGCTCAAATGAAAGGTAACGGTATGGTAACTGTGGGAGTAGTGTAATTCTGGTAGTAGTTAAGGCTTTCTTGGGAACGTGTAAATAGAGAGCGGAAGACACTGAGGGTTGGAACTGTCTCAACAAGGCTGAGTCACGCTGGATGAAAAGAGATACAGTCTACAATTGGTGAGGGCTAGAACTGCAAGTATTTATTTTTTAGCTCTAAAATTTTTAGAAGGGTTTAGATATGGGTGACTTCAGCAGATGGAAGGAAGAAGGAAAGGAGAGAAAACTTACGCTTAGCTGAGCTGTCATAAAACAAGCAGAGGATTAGAGACGGCCATGAATGAATTAAATCTGTCCTGTTTTTTCTCTGTAACTTTCTACTGGAGATAATGGTCACGTTTCCCTCGTTAAGGATTCTGCCACTCTGTATTTCTTCAAATTTCCTCTTTAAAAGGTAAAAGCACTGCTCCTGAACTGCAGCCTGAGCCACTTCCCCAGCATCCTCCCCACCAGCTGCGGCGGGGCCATCGGCTCCCCGCTGCCTGCTTTTCAATGGCTGGATCTCCCAACAGGAGGTTGGGAAAATGTAAAAATAAGCAAAGTGAAAGTACAGGTGGTCACAGATGTGTTTTGATTGCCCATAGTGTTGGAAGTCAGGGGTGCTTGGGAGACATCTGGTAAATTTTCTGTTGAATTGCAAGTCTTCGAATTGTTAATAAATACATGTAAATCTCCATAATCCTGTTGATTTAATCTTAATTTTCCTACTAGCTGTCGAAAAATTTGCACAGCTATTACTTCTGTAAAATGGAATAAAACAGAACGGCGTGAAAATATTTTTACCTAATGATACTTTATTTGCTGTTGTCCAAGTGTTTATGCTTATTATCAATTTGTTTAGGGGAATGAAAACATAAACAGTCACGCAGCTGAACCAGAGTAGTTATGGATCCGGTCCGCTGGGCTTACACCGCTGGAAACGTGCTTGCCCTGGACATTTTCCTTCTGACAAGAAATGGGATGTCCCAGTTCACTCCCTGGTGGAACAACCTGTGGTGAGTTTGCTGCTGTTGACTCTTCCTCAGCTAAGGGTGGGTGAAGAAGGCTGCTGTGGGTTGCCCGTACCGATCCTCTTATAGGATCAGAGCCTTTGGGTTACAGCCACAAAGGCACCAATTCCTCTTGGTTTCATTTATAATTTACATGATTATGGTTCTGTGGGAAGGGATTCCCAATGGGCGCTAAGGCTTAAACACTTCCATGGATATGCACCTCAGCTGCTGTGCGTTGGCAGCTTTGAGCTTGAAACTGAGGAATGGACTTTTTATATGTGATAAATGAGGACTTTTGTATAGCTATGAAATGAGTGTCACTGCACAGTTTCCTATTGATTTGATCTTCCTTTTTGTCCAGTTCAGATGTTTTGCTAATTTGTGACAGCTATGGAGTGTCATACGACAGTTCAGGGAGCTAGCAGAAATTCTTCAGATGTGTTGTACTCTTAAAGTGGTTGTTCTAAATCCGGGTCACATATTACTAAT